GCACATGTATTCACATGCGCACGGATGCAATGCTAAAATTTGAATATAATTGGTATCCTTCTGAGAAAACGTTGTTAAAGTCAAAATGCACAGAGTTTGTCTTCTTTAATGAAGCTTACAGGGAATATGGCACCAAAAAGGAGTTGGGGAGCGTTTGGGGAACATCTGTAACGGTCCCCGTTACAATTAGCACTAGTTATTATTATTTTTCTTCTCGGGAAAATTTTGTCCGCGAATGATCTTGTAAACTACACATCCGATTTAGGTGAAATGTTTTTAGGGTCAGTAGACATGTTATGTAGATTTGCGGAACGAAGGTTATTTTGCGCGCACGTGCTTGCAAGAGCGTGCACGTGCAACACGTGAAATGACTGATTTAATTGATATAGGCGTAACTTTTTACATTTTTTTATGAAATGCTTTAAAACTCATAACATAAGGATATATTAGTAGCATAGACAATATCACATGATCAAAATAGCAAGATCTCACGCGCATGCACGTGCGCTTCGCTCTGATTGGCTGAAACTAAAGTCTCAATATCTTTCTTGTTTTTTGACAAAATCCTTTGAAATTTTGAAGATAGCCATGCATTAGGACATCCTACAACATAATATATAGCAATTATCATAAAAACACGTGCATGCACGTGCGCTGCAATCTGATTGGCTGAAACTTTAAATAGCTATAACTCCCTTGGTTTACAACCAAACGGGGTGGGATTTGGAACATAGATAGATATAATGGACTTCTACAAGAATGTATGGTCAACATGCACATGCATGCACGTGCGTGTATATGCGCTGCAATCTGATTGGCTTAAACTTTAAACAACTATAACTCCCTTGGTTTACAACCAAACGGGGTGGGATTTAGAACATAGATAGATGTAATGGACTTCTACAAGAAGGTATAGTCACCATGCTCATGTATGCACGTGCGTGCACGTGAAAAGAAAAAAAAGGAAAAAATACACTTGAATGAGCGTATTTTTAATACTTTTGGATTAAATACTTTAATATTTAGTATATCAAAATATATAAATTGTGTAGAAAAATGATATGGTCATTACGCACATGCATTCACATGCGCACGCGTGCAATGCTAAAATTTGAATGAACTTGGTACACTACTGGATAAACGTTGTTAAAGTCTCAAATGCATAGAGTTTGTCTTATTTAATGAAGCTCACATAGAATATGGCACCAAAAGGGAGTTGGGGAGCGTTTGGGGAACATCTGTAACGGTCCCCGTTACAATTAGCACTAGTTATTATTATTTTTCTTCTTCTTCTTCTTCCTGGAACTTTTTTGTCCGGGAATGATCTTTTAAACTGTTCGTCTGATGTAAGTAAAACCTTTTTAGGGTTAGTAGACATGTTATGTAGATTTGCGGAATCAAGGTCATTTTGCGCGCACGTGCTTGCAAGAGCGTGCACGTGCAACACGTGATATGACCAATATAATAGATATAGCCACAACTGTTCTATTTTTAGATGAAATGCTTTGAAACTCATAATGTGAGGATTTATAAGTAGTATTGACATGACGACATGGTGAAAATAGCAAGATCTCACGCGCATGCACGTGCACTTTGCTCTGATTGGCTGCAACTAAAGTCTCAATATCTTTCTTGTTTTTTGACAAAATCCTTTGAAATTTTGAACATAGCCATGCATTAGGATATCCTACAACATGAAATAAAGCAATTATCATGAAAACACGTGCATGCACGTGCGCTGCGATCTGATTGGCTGAAACTTTAAACAGCTATAACTCCCTTGGTTTTCTACCAAACAGGATGGGATTTGGAACATAGATAGATATAATGGACTTCTACAAGAAGGTTTGGTCACCATGCACATGCATACACGTGCGTGTACATGTGCTGCAATCTGATTGGCTGAAACTTTAAACAGCTATAACTCCCTTAGTTTTCACCCAAACGGGGTGGAATTTAGAACATAGATAGATGTAATGGACTGCTACACGAAGGTATGGTCACCATGCTCATGTATGCACGTGCGTGCACGTGAAATGATTAAAATCAAACATACACTTGAATGAGCGTATTTTTTTTTTTTTATAATTTTGGATTAAATACTTTAATATTCTGTGTATTAAAAATATAGATTGTGTAGACAAGATGATATGGTCATGACGCAAATGCATTCATGCACGCGTGCAATGCTAAAGTTTAAATGATTTTTGTACACTTCTTTGTAAATGTTGTTAAAATCTTAGATGCATAGAGTGTGTCTTATTTAATGAAGCTTACAGGGAATATGGCACCAAAAACGGAGTTGGGGAGTGTTTGGGGAACATCTGTAACGGTCCCCGTTACAATTAGCACTAGTTATGTTCCCCAAACGGAGTTTGGGAACATATTGTTTTTACTCGGTTTCTTATTATTATTATTATTTTTTTTTTCTTATTTGTTCTCCGGTACTTTTTTGTCCGCGAGTGTTCTCAGAAACTGTGCACCCAACTGAGCTAAAACCTTTTTAGGGTTAATAGGTGTGTAGTGTAGGTGTGCGGAACGAAGGTCATTTTGCGCGCATACGCCTGCACGTGCGTGCGCGTGAAATGAGTGAATTGACTGATATACTTAATATAGCTATAACTTTTACATTTTTTGATGAAATGCTTTGAAACTTATTACATAAGGATATATTTAAAGTGTTAATAACATGACACTGTCAAATTAGCATGAACTCACGCGCATGCACGTGCGCCTTCCTCTGATTGGCTGAAACAAAAATCTCAATATCTCTTTTGTTTTCCGACGAAATGCTTTGAAATTTTTAACATTGTCATGAATTAGGATATCCTACAATAACATATGCAAAAAATTCATGAAATCACGCGCATGCACGTGCGCTGCAATCTGATTGGCTGAAACTTTAAATGGCTATATCTCCTTTGTTTTTTGACGAAATGCTTTGAAATTTAAAACATAGTCATGCATTAGGATATCCTGCAATATGATATACAAAAAAATTTAAGAAATCACGCGCATGCACGTGTGCTGCAATTTGATTGGCTGAAACTTTAAATGGCCATATCTCCTTTGATTTTTGATGAAATGCTTTGAAATTTAAAACATAGTTTTGCATTAGGATATTCTACAATATGATTTAGAAAAAGATTCTTGAAATCACGTGGATGCACGTGTGCTGCAATCTGATTGGCTGAAACTTGAAATGGCCATAATTCCCTTGGTTTTCAACCAAATAGGATGGAATTTAGAACATAGATAAATATAAGGGCCTCCTACAAGAAGGTATTGTCATCATGCACATGTACGCACGTGCGTGCATTTGGAACGAGTGAAATTGAAAATACAATTGAATGAGTGATTTTTAATACTTTTGGACTAAATGCTTTCATATAAAGTATATTTTCATATATATAGAAAGTGTAGACAAGATTATATTTTCATTATGCACGTACATTCACATGGGCACGCGTGCAATGTTAAAATTTGAATATAATTGGTATCCTTTTGGGAAAACGTTGTTAAAGGCAAAATTACACAGATGTTGTCTGATTTAATAAGGCTTACAGTGAAAATGGAACCAAAAGGGAGTTGGGGAGCGTTTGGGGAACATCTGTAACGGTTCCCGTTACAATTAGCACTAGTTATTATTATTCTTATTATTTTTCTTCTTCCTGGGAAAATCTTGTCCACGAGTGATCTTGTAAACAACACATCTGACTTAGGTGAAACCTTTTTAGGGTTAGTAGGCATGTTATGTAGAGTTGCCGAACGAAGGTCATTTTGCGCGCACGTGCTTGCAAGAGCGCGCACGTGCAGCACTTGAAATGACCAATATAATGGATATTGCCGTAACTTTTCTATTTTTTGATGAAAAGTCTTAAAACTCATAATATAAAGGATATATTAGTAGTATAGACAAGATGACATGGTCAGAATAGCAAGATCTCACGCGCATGCACGTGCGCTTCGCTCTGATTGGCTGAAACTAAAGTCTCAATATCTTTCTTGTTTTAAGTCATAATCCTTTGAAATTTTGAACTTAGTCACACATTATGAAGATCTACAGCACGATATATAAGACTTTTCATGAAAGCACGTACATGCACGTGTGCTGGAAAGAGCGCGCACGTGCAACATGTGAAATAACCAATATAATTGATGAAGCCGTAACATTTCTATTTCTTGATGAATTTTTTTGAAACTCATAATGTAAGGATACATTAGTAGTATAAACAAGACGGCATGGTCAAAATAGCAAGATCTCACGCGCATGCACGTGCGCTTCGCTCTGATTGGCTGAAACTGAAGTCTCAATATCTTTCTTGTTTTTTGTCATAATCCTTTGAAATTTTGAACATAGTCCTACATTATGAAGATCTACAGCATGATATATCAAAATTTTCATGAAAGCATGGGCATGTGCACGTGCTGCAATCTGGTTGGCTGAAACTTTAAATGGCTATATCTCCTTTGTTTTTTGACGAAATGCTTTGAAATTTAAAACATAGAAATGCATTAGGATATCTTACAATATGATATAGAAAAAAATTCATGAAATCACGCACATGCACGTGTGCTGCACTCTGATTGGCTGAAACTTAATAGCTATAACTCCCTTGTTTTTCAACCAAACAGGATGGGATTTAGAACATAGATAGATATAAGGACTCCTACAAGAAGGTATGGCCATCATGGACATGCACGCACGCACGCACATGGAACAAGTGGAATTAAAATGCTAAAATTTGAATGAAATTGGTACACTTCTGGGTAAACGTTGTTAAAGTCTCAAATGCATAGAGCTTGTCTTATTTAATGAAACTTATAGGGAATATGGCACCAAAATGGAGTTGGGGAGCGTTTGGGGAACATCTGTAACGGTTCCCGTTACAATTAGCACTAGTTGATTTTTGTTATTGTACAGCAGCGTATATTGTTTGTACATAATTGTTTTTTACCTCTGTATCTGAACAGTGTTGACCAATTCTCTGCGGTTGTAGGTATGTTATACGCTCAGCAGACCGCTGTACCCGTGTACCTGCCTGACCTAAGACTGTCTATAGCGGTAGGAATAGAGGGCTTCTCCGACGACCATTGGGTGGCCAGTCTCCAAAACATGGAACAGAAAGTCATGCAAAACGTAAAATTCAACACAAACTTTGGAAACCCAAGTATGTTTTTAAGTCACATCATTACAATGTTCACTTGTACATTTACTCGGTAGAAGACTGATTCACTTTAGGTATATTTTATAAATTTATACAAAACTTCTTTAACACGTGTTCATTTTGACAGATGTGGCTGTGTATTCACAAGAGTCAGCTATACATAACGACTACTCTGATTTTACTTACCGAACTCCTGCTGAATATTATAACATGGACGATATCCTACGACAAAAACTTTCCCATCGCCCTTCTAGGCTTCTGAACTACATAGAACAGGTGCCCGACACGTACGATTTCATCCCGGCTGACGTGGTGAGCAGAGTGCCTCCGCCTAAGGCGCCAAAGCCGGTAATGGACAAGAAAGCCCAGCCTGTAAAACCTTTGACCCCGCCCCCGGCTTCACTTCCGGCTCCGGCAGTGCCACAGAGGCCCACAGTTTTTCAAAGGCCAGAAAAAAGTAAAACTGTTAATGAAGTTCCACCCAGTCCGAGTAGAGTATCACGCGCGCCTAATGTAGAGGAACTGAAGATTGCCGATTTAGGAGCGTGGATGAAGGAACTAAAACTGGATAAATATGTTGATACGTTTGCCGAGCAAGGAATCGACGGTGTTCTGCTTAAGGAAATGACAAGGGAAGATTTACGGAACGATTTCGGGATGTCAACCATTGAGGCCATTAAGTTATCTAAATTCGCTCAGACGGGGCATGTCCCGAGCTAGTGTCCTCTGTATCTAAACGTGTCTCAACCATTAACGAAGTATTGAAGTAACCGCGGGTTGTGTTTTTGCGATAAGTGTAATGAAGTTGTTCATTCATGAAAAATGAAACCAATATGAATTGATTCGTTGATATATATATACATTTTTTTCGATTTTACCAGCAATGTTAAACATAGCGAAAAAAAATACAATAGTCAAATAGAAGAAATATGTTTGGTGTTTCCTAGAAAAAAATATTTGAATTATTAATAGATAATGCACATTAAGTTTTAATATTACATCTAATACTATTCTGAGAATTCTCTTCTTGAGTATTGGAAACATTTACAAGGTTTGCTTATATTTATACTGTGGAGGAGGTATATGCAAACATTTACATGTACGACAAAAGAAATGTTTTGTAAATTGTTCAAGATATCTGAATCATAATCATGTTTTATTTTCAAATTTAATGTACTAATACTGCCTGGTTTTATGTAAAATATTTTCACTGTACATGAATGTTACAAGGCCTATTTCAGAGCTATCTAAAATATTTCCTGTGACATATTTTGCCTAGGAGTTATTCCCCTTAGCCGCCATCTTGTAGGGCAAAGTAGTGAATTTACCTCTTTGAGCAACCAATTTTAAACATGCATGCAAGAAATATAAGGGGGAAAATATTCACAATCTTATAATCATGAATTAATAGATGCTTTAACAAACGTATATCCATAAGAAAAATAGCATTATCTTTACCTCAGTAACCATTATAACAAGTTGAACTTGGTTGAATAATGAAGGGATCTGGGAATGTTGCCCTACAATATGGCGGCTAAGGGGAATAACTCCTACACAAAATATGTCATAGGAAAAGGGTCTATAATATATATTTTTTTGAATGTTACTCTTATGATCGGACGTTTTAACGAGTAGAAAGCTTAATATATACTTGTGCCAATTTTGTCAATATATTTTTCTACATATTTTTAGATAAAATGTGTGCATGGTGCAGGGAGAGAGAGAAAGAAAGAGTGAGTTAATTTGTTTATAATTGTAAATGAAAATGAAATAAAAGGAGCTTCCCAGATCCCCGTTGTTCGGCGTTTTTACATTCTGCTTAAGAACGACGGGGAATAAAGAGGATTCTAAATTGTTGATAGATAAAGCCAAGTTAACTATCCTTTTGAAAGGTGAACAAAAAAGCAAATTTTAAATTGGTTGGGATCATATAAAACCTTAAGAACCACATGAACAAGAAAAGCTGAAATTGATACGAAAGCTTTCCGAGGAAAACTTAGTGTATATTTTGAACTGAATTGAATTGGGGTAGGGTTGGGCCAAAATAAGGACATCAAAGTTTTATATTTGAATATAAAGAATAAAAAATTGCATTTCTCACCTCAAGTACCAATGAGCCAGAAAACTGAAACTTGTGTAGATTTTGAATCGTCATACATTGTAGCTTGAAGCCTTTGGGGTAGGGTTGGACCACAGTAAGGACATTAAAGTTTTACTTTCAAAAAATATAAAGGAAACAAGTTTCCAAATTTCGTTTCAAGAACAATTTGGCCAGAAAAACTGAAACTTGTGTAGATTTTGAATTGTTCATACTGTATATAGCTTGACGCCTTTGGGTAGGATTTGACCGCAACAAATACATCAAATAAAGTTTTATATTTAAATATAAAGGAAAAAGTTTGCAAATATCATCTCAAGGACCATTTGGCCAGAGAAGCTGAATTAAACTCATGTGGAAGTTTCGATCCTTGCATTGTAAATTCTAATTTCTTCAGATCATAACCCCATGGATAGGATGGGTACACAAAAGGGGGATCAAAATTTTACACTGAAATACAAGTATCTTTAGGATTTTTTCCTACCCTCTCAAGAACCAGAGGGCCAGAAAAGCTGTTCAAAGCTTCCTATGGTACATGTAGTCTTGACTCTTGATATTTTCGCCAGTTATTTTGACATAACATAAAATTAAAGTCGCTAAGCGCTATATTATCAATGTCTACATTAGTATAATGTAAAATTCCTGTATATTATACATAACAAGTTCCTTGATATTCACTGGTTATACGTAATAATCCTGTTACTTGTAATCACTTGAATTAGTTTATTTACATATACCACATCCCTTACTTTTGTATGCAGTGTGAGATCTGCTCATCATGTGGAGAGTTGTGGTCCTTGGTTTTGTGTTAGCTCTTGGAGAACTGGCAGGTATAACAAATGTCCGAGTTAAAAAAAAACAAACAAACCGTTTCTTCATTCTCGTAATGTTAATGGGCTTAATATTTGTATAATTATACAGTTTTCTCTAATTGTTTTATTTTTATACTGATGGAATAATTTTATTGGCTAGAAATTTGAAACAGAGCAGTTGTGAATAGGAAAGGTAAAGAAGCTTTAAGGAAGTTTTTTCAGTTCAAACACAAAGATACGTCTTATCTTGTTCCAATAGCTGTCATCACCAATCCAGAATGAATGAAACAAAATGTTAATGTACATATCAACTTAAACTTTTTTTTATACAGCTCTTAGTATAAATTTGATACTTATTTTTCCCGTGAAATGTGTTCGTTCAGAAAGAATTCAAATCTCAATAAAGGAGAATTACTGTCAGAGAACTTGTATTTTTTTCTGTTCATTTTCATGTACAGTACCTTCTCGTGCGGCTTATGGTCAGGGAGAGGAATCAGAAGGTCATTGCAAAACAAATGGAGATTGTGGGGCTGACTCTAAGAAATACCTGATACATAAACAAGGTAAGCGTAACACATTTAACGGTAAAAAATAACAATGCATGAACAAAACATGCGCCAGTTTCGCCCTCCCCCACCCCCCAACATAATATAGATATTGTACAATGGGGGCGTATTGGACCCCCCATTTCCAACAGGTAAATGGTAGTGTTTGGGAAAAAAATTGGTAAAAGAAGTAGTTTTCCTTTATCCCCCCCCCCCCCCCCTCGTGTTTTTCGTGTTTGGGCAATGGACACATTTCTCTTTCAACATTTCCTTGTTTTTGCTTGTCAATTTTTTTATAGGTTTGAATTTTTTTCTGCCCCCCTTCAATTTGTTTCCGACGCCAATGCTTGCTCTAAAAGACTCTCTCGTCATAATTACTAATTCAGAGAACGTCATCTGTAAAGGATGTACATTTTTAAACCATTAAGTGCGAGTAAATCATGTCGATCGAAATTGTGACAATTTGAGAATTATTTGACGGACTAGGTCACTCACTTGTCACGAGCAGGGATGCTTGATAACAAGTCAAGATTTATAGCGGGATGTGAAGGATCCTTCTATAATGACAATATCCCTGAGAAACAAGCACCTGTTCCTGTGTTTATTGTGTGCATCTTGACAAAACAAAACGATCAACAAAAAACTGAAAAAATTCATCGTATTGTTACAGGAACAATTTGATCTTAAATATTTTACTAAATAATTATTCATATATTGTAATTAATATAATCATTATTTAATGAAAAAAATAAATATAGACTGATGTGTTCAAATAATAATACTACGATCAGAACATTAGGTCTTAGAACCATTATTTTGACGAAAAATTACTGTCGCTAAACCGTCTTAGTTACGAGTATTTAACCCAGCTACGAGTCAATCCTCATGATCCAGTTGATTAAATTTAATTAGATGAAAAATAAGTTGCCACTATATATATTATGTAACCGGTAAAAATACAAAGATCGGTTGATTGCAATAAAACTTGTCCTGGGGCCGCCCCTAGTTATATCAATTAAAATATCCTTTTAAATATATAATACACATGTTAGATATTTGAAGCGTAATGATTTTTTTAACTATAGTATACGATGAAGATTATCAATGCTAAAAAGCTTAAAGTTTACCTAAATAATATATAATATTGAGTATTACAATACAATTTAAATTTATGTGAAGATTATAAAACAATTCATGATTTGATGACTTATGTTGGTTTATCCTATTCTGCGTTTGTTTAATTTTCTCTATGTCATTGTTAAATATATATAAATCAGGGGAATTACGTTCTTACCTTTGGCGTAGAACCACAGCAATTAATTCGATAAACTCAATCAACTTACAATATGACCCTTTACAACCATATAAAATAAATGACAAGTTTCTATTTTAAATTTTTTTGTTTAATTTGAATACTTGATAAATTTAACCTATATTTTCTCTTTTCCTGAATAGCTTATGGAAGAGTAAAAAAAAAAAAAAAAACAACGCTTATAATCAAGTATACATTGCTCGTCTAAAATTTCTCTGATATACATGTATTTGTTTCATTTAAACATATTAAGATAAACAACCTTTCCAGGATTTATGATCAATAAGTAAAAACTCCAAAGAGAAGCTCAGTGATAGGAAATAAAGTAATCAATTGATGTACTATCTTCTGATGGTTTAGGCAACAAGAGCAAACAAAATCTTAATGACATGCGCGTAACAAGACCTTTCCTTGGGTATCTAGATATTTGACCTCATGACCTTGGAGTTTGAACCACTTTTGCAAGAAAACAAGATTGTTTGTGAAACACTGATTCTCCCTTGACAGCTTATGGCAAAGGTTGAATTTTCTCAAATGCATGTCAAACTCCATAGGTCAAGGTCAAAAAGTCAAAATTGTACTATATGTACCCAAAGGAAGGCCTTACCACAAGGAATACATCTATGAAATTTGAAAGCCTGTTTCTAATTGTTCGGAAGTTATAGCCTAGTTTAGATTTTTTTTAAAGTGGGTCAAACTCTAAGGTCAAGGTAAAAAGATCAATAACATTTATACCCACTGAAAGGTTTTGTCACAAAGAATAGACCTGTGAAAAATGAATCCCCTAACTCCAACAATTCAAAAGCTTTAGCGAAGGATAAAGTTGGGGATATTTTTGCAAAAGTGGGTCAAGCTCAAAGGTCAAGCGGTCATATTTAGTGGTACCCAAAGGAAGTTCTTGTCACAGGGAATACATCTGAAAATGAAAGACATAGCCCCGCCCACTCAATCATAATGGACAAGGTTTAAGTTTTTGCACACAAACAGATATCCTAACGAACAGGCAGGACAAAAACTATAAATAAGACCCAAACTTTGACCTTAGTTATAACTTTTAAAACTTCACATGTGTGATATTCCTTGGGTATATATACATGTATATTTGATCTTTTGAGCTTGACCTTAGAGATTTCGAAATTCTTGATTCATTGATTATTCTATTATTTGTTTGTATGAAGGACTATCGGAAAAAAAAATAGACTACAGGTTATACAGAACAAGATTATTAGATTTATTCTTGATGTTTCACCTAGATCAAGAGTAAGTGTTATATACTGAATTTGAAAAATTAGGTTGTTTGAACATTAGAAGTAGAGTGTGACAGTTACGCCTCAACCACGTCTACAATATTTTTAATAATAAAGGTCCAAATTATATGTGTAGCAATTTTAAGCGAAATGTGTCTAAAATTGTACAAGGTCGTCAAATTAATTTTTGTGCCAAGGGTTCAAAAAATGGAGAGTCAAACATTTTTTATAATAGTATCAAAGATTAGAATTCTCTTCCTGACCAGATTAAAACAATTACGAGTAAATCAAAATTCAAAAAGAGGTCAGAAAACATTTTATGGAGAAACTTAAGAAAAATGCCAAAGAGGATTTTTTATACTATTAGATTTATTACTCAATTGTTCTTTCTTCTTATCCAATTAAGAACTTGTGTTTTAGATGCTCTTGCATAATAAGATTAAAGTTTTAAGCCATCCGGTTTATAGCTAGTATACAATTTGTTGTTTGTATTAAGTATATTATATGTCATATGCCAGTAATTTTGTTACATGTAAAAGGACACTATTGGAAATAAGCCATAATGGCTTTCCTGGGCTATCTTTGGGTTTAGGCATATTTAATATAATATATTTATTTGAATTATATGAAATTAAGATTTATTAGTCAATTTGTTTTATAACTTATCTCTTAAATTATGTATATTATTTATAAATTTTCATATTGTGTAATACTCATACCTCAGTGTTATTGCTCATTGCTCAATACCTATACCTGAATAAATATTATTATTATCATTATTATTATTATTATTATTATTATTATTGTTTTCAAATCTTCATTTTTTGTCATACAGCTTTTGAACAGCCCATGCTCTAGGTTTTCATAGTTCACAAGTGCATTGTTACAACGCACTTTGAAAAATTACGCACTTTGAAAAATTTTTTCAAAGTGCGTTAAGTTTTGGGACCAGGTTAACGCTCTTTGAATTTTTTTTTTAAAGTGCGTTGAATTTGGGACCAAATTAACGCACTTTGAATTTTTTTTTTTTTAAAGTGAGTTAAAACTGTACATCATAATTTTTACACCATGTAAACATTTAACGCACTTTGAAAAAATTTTCATGAAACAAAAGGAATTAGACTTATATTTTAGAAATAGACAACAGTATTACATGTATCCCCTTGCAACGTATGATGGGATATAGTGATGCTATTATGTGTGTTATTACTTTATGTGTATGTTAGTTTTTTTCTGCGTGGAATTGACGTAAATTGTATCGGGATTATCGGGGAGGAATGCTCTGCTTTGCAGTGCCCTTACTTTGATGTGTTTTTTTTCTAAAGACTGATGGATTGAAGAAAGCCAAGAAACGGAAAACGAAGAAAAGACTGGCTGAATTAAGGTCTATCAGCTCAACTCTTTATCATTCCCACCCAGATATATCTATTTCTATAACTCGTAAACTTAAGTGTCAATGATATTTAAAAAAAAGAGCATTCTAAATACAGTATAAGAACTGTACAAGGAATTCTGTAGCAAATCGAAATTTTGTTCTTCTAAATCTCAAAGTCTATTTCTTCAGGAAAATCAGAATATTAATAACTAGCTGTAAATTTCTTATTTTTCGCAAGTGTTTTTTTTTTTATCGCGAACTGGCACTCAAACGTCAAATCGCTAGAATTATAATTCGCAAATGAACGGTTTATTAACAGATTTTACAAAGATTTAAGCACCAGAGAAATAAAAGCGAGAAATATTTTTTTCGCGAGTGATACTTCTCGCGAAATTACGCAGAAATTAATTCTTCGCTTATATTAAGGAATCTACATTACCTGTCTACTTTTCCATGTTATTTTGACGCCATATCTAATAATTTCTCTGTTAAACTCCAGGTGTTTAAAAACACAAGTTCTGCCAAAATTATAAAGTTGTTTCTATTTCTTATCCCAAATAAGTAAGGTTTTATGAAAATTCATATAAATATCTATTAATTTTATTTTTAGAATCATTCCAATATGTTAACATTTGAGAATTGACTGAGAGATAGGCGGAAGAACAATACCATAGTTCGTAGTTCTTTACGACATTGAATGTTGACCTTTTGACCCAAATTCAAAAGGGGTCTTCCTAAGGCCACAGGGATTCTGTTATGTTAAATTTCATTGCAAACGTTCAAAGGGTTGGCGAGATATCGTGTGGAAACGAAAGCGTTACAGAAAGACGGATGGACGGACAGCTAGACGGAAGGACTGACACATAGACCCAAATTAATATCTCCCACTTTTCAAGCGGGGGACAAAAAGTATCAAACCAAGTTCAAATGAAAAGAAGAAAGTTCACATTGGTCCATATTTGGCCCTGTGAATTGCTGAAATATAAGAACTACTCAGTTTTAGTTGAAAATTTTATATTTACCTAACACCCTTGGTGACTTCGTATCAAATAAAAATGACGTAATTTTTTCTCTAGTCTATGTATTATGACGTCATGTATTTCGTCATTTTCCTCAAATCTTGAAAAATTTCGTTAAAAATGACCAAAAATTGAACCTGTTTTTTTAATATTTTGCATAGCCCCCAACCTCTGATCTAGAATGTTGAATTATATAATGAAAGAAGAGTTTCAGAAGATTCTAATCCATGGAAGTATTTCTGGATCGCAGGGTGGGCTCATATTTTTATCAAAAGTTGAAGATGCTCAATTTCAGCCATTTTTGTCAAAAATCAAGAACTTGCAGTTTCACAATGCCTGAGTTTCCAAACATGGACTCTCAGAGGAATTCATTTATAGGAAATGAATGCACTAAGTCTCTACTTTATGTTGATGATCTAAATAGAACGTAAGGACTTGGTCGGTTTATTAGTATATTGACAGGGCCATTTTATGGAGTAAGTGAATCTACGTCTTTATTAAGATTTGTAGGAATATTGACTAAGCCATGCAGATTTTTTTTTTCAAAGTGCGTTAATATGGTCGATATTAACGCACTTTGATAAAAAATATTTTTTCAAAGTGCGTTAACCTGGTCCCAAAATTTAACGCGCTTTGAAAAAAAAATTCAAAGTGCGTAATCTTTTCAAAGTGCGTTGCCACAAACGTCCATCTCCAGAGTATTTCACTGATATGGAGGACACCAACAACAAACTAACAAACTAACATAAAATGCTGCGTTATTCATAAATGCAAAAAAGCAGCACATTTGTTTTTTTTATCTCTAGATGAATCTAACTTATCCCAAGGAAGCTTAAGCTTATCCGTAATACTAATGATATTGAGATTTAATTTAGTACAAGAAAATAAAAATGAAGAAATTCTAGTATAAAAATTTCGGAACTGTTGGCTACATAAGAAATTATCAGTTAATTATTCCAAAATTGTATTGGAAAAAAAACACATACCATTTACGGGCAATATGGACATTATAAAAAGATAAATACTTTTTTCTTTATCTTAAATTTTTATGGTGTTCAGATTTGTTTTGGAATAGAAGTACAAAATATCTCACCTGAAATCTTTCACAATTTTCAACATATTTTCCAAAGTTAACAAACATCTGAGAAAAAAAAATACACTAAAAATGAATAAAAAAAATATTTAAAAAAAAGGAAACCTTTCTTTGAATTAAATCTCACCTCAAGATGTTCCAGGTCATTGCATTGTATGTCTTGCATCAAGTTGTACACCTAGAATAAAATATTAAAGCATGAATTTCAAGTATTCAAAAATTAATGGAGGAATAGTAATTACATAATCTAAAATGAAATGATTATTAGTTCTCATATTTCACGATTTTTTTTTTAGTTTTTGGTTCAAAATTGAATGTACCTGGATAGAACTGAAAAGCACACTAAAAGCAAAAATAAGTGTAGAGTCATTCATCGATGAGTTCCTGTCATAGAGTCCTTGTGAATCCATTAAAAAAACTGCAACCTATAATTCAAAAGTTCAAATGTTGGTGACATACCGTATATACTCGCCTATAAGTCGGTCCGCCTATAAGTCGGTTGTATTTAATAAGCTAAAAAACCAGAGGGACTGACTTCATATAATACCATTCATTTTATAGCTCGCCTATAAGTCGGACATAGAGTTTTGGACCTGAAATTAACTCCCAAAAATCCGACTTATAGGCGAGTATATACGGTATGCAAATCAAAAGGACCTTGAATAAAATACATAAGGCTAGTAGACAATAAATAATTTGAATTAAGATGTTACAGAAATCATTACTTTTTTCACTAAATTTTTTTTAATTCAAGATGGGTGCATGTTTTAGATATGAGGGCTTCAACAGACCTCTTTTTCATATGTGACTCATTTTGTTTAATAATACTCCAGTTGGTAACAGCAACATTTGGAACATGCAACCATTTTAAGTAACAAATTAAAATACCGATTTTGGAGAGATTTCCCCAAAAGTAAATATATTTGAAGCGCAATTCTAAAATGATTTTCTCCTCGTACTTCAAAAAAATCTCTGCATTGGTTGTGCAATTTTTTCGTCCGATTTTTTTCGACTTGCCCAGGTCAGTCGAATGGAGTCTATTGTTTGGGGTTAGCACATGACTTTTTTACGTTCGATTAACAAACGATTTCGGAGTGAAATGAATCCGTACTTATTCCTTTTTAAGCGGTTAGCTAGCTAACCGGTTTATGGCATGGCTCCAAAAACTGGAAACTTCCAGAACGCGCTACCTATCGACATCGCTTTATGGCACGTAACCAAAACCGGAAATTTCCATAAGGCGCTACCTATCGACATCGCTTTATGGCACGTAACCAAAACCGGAAACTTCCACAAGGCGCTACCTATCGACAACGGTAACTTCAGGAAAGCGCTTCCTATGATTTGTATACTGTTAACGTAATACGTCCCCTCAGGTTAGAGATTGACAATATGCTGTGTATGAAGAGTGGCTATTATAACGATTATATCGAATTCATATTAGTATTAACCAAAGCATTGGCAATACTTAGAACACTAACTTCAAAGAACTTAAAATGGTCCTTATTACATGTACATCGTTCGATCGCGATTTATAGCAACTGTTAGTTTATTTTTGAAAGTTGAACGATACGGTTATTATACAGCAGGTTGAAGGTTATTCATTATATATTCATTATTAATTGAAATTCAATAAAGACATTTCTAGGTGTAGTGAATATTCCGGTAGGTTTGTTCACATTTTCTACAATGATCTGCCTACTTATGACTGATTGTAGTCTCAAAAGAAAAGTGTTAAAATTTATCTCCGATTAGCGGCCTTTAGCTTTGTCTGTGTAAAAATTCGGGTTATTTTGATACGTGTTACTCATACTGGCTGGAACTTGACACCTGTTCTGGATTTACACGGGAGAAATCTATCATGGGAAAAATAGAGATCTGATGGTTCACGAGAAGCACAGTTCTGTAGTACGCAGATTTTTTTTTGTCGGACTACTCCCCCCCTCCCTCACTTCCCCTTAAATTATTTTGCGAGCCTTGTTGTACAAAAGTAATGCCGGTGAATTCTGTTCTTTCTATTAAAAGCTAGAACTAGTCGTTGAATGACGTTTTTCATTCAATTAAGTTGTTAAGTTACATAAATCTATATACTGCAACATCAAATTCCTCCTACATTTTAAAATGATTGTACCATAGAATCAATGTTTATTTTGTATATAAAAGTATATGTAAAAGAGAGAAATTCAGACTCCGCCAATTAATATGTAAATAAGATATGCAGATTTAAAAGCGTGATTTGTCAATAAAAGGCATATTTTAATTCGAATTGGGCGAATTATTATACGGGCAAGTTACCTAAGGTTCGAACTCTCTTGCATCCTCGCGCATGCTTAGTCTGTCATTTGCCCATGGTATCTGGTTTAACCTCGCTTATATATTTACTGCGTGGACCTCAGGGTCAATGCAATTAATTTTAAGATAATATATATATTAATACTAATCGGCATTGTGATCCTCTTCTAAAAATCAACTGATACATTATTATTCCCAGAAGAATGAAATATAAAAATCTTGGCAATTAGCAAAAATTTAGAATATATACTTAATGCTTATTTATAAGTTTTGAATCCTATGGAACGTATTATTAGCTGTGAAAATAATTTTTTTTGAATTTGAATTTGTCCAATTTTTCGATTTTTATTTTGAGCGTTTGAGAAGAATTGAATTAAAATACAGGTGTGTAGAGGTAAATTGATAGAAAAGAAATCAGTGTATATTGTTTAACGGACATATTGAAGAAAGTGACACTGACGCATGAATCAAGGGTTTCCGATAAGCTTAAGTCTTTCTGTGAAATTTTTAAAACTTTGACATTTTCCCTTGCCATTTACATTTAATTTTTATATATTAAAAACGGTACATTTAATTGTTATTATTTACACATGAACATGTGCATTAACAGTGTGAAATGCTAAAAATATGTACCTACGGATATTATATTTTCTTTAAAATATGCGCGCTAATAAGATCTTAAAATTAAAAATCATACTATTAGCGAACATTTTAGATCTATCCACATCTTATTGCAAGTAGAATATTTACGTCTAGTTTATCATTCTGTATTTAATTATTCTGTATCAAAAATCAAGTTCATCAGACGCCCTAGTAAAGTTGTTCAAAACTAGATCAAAACTAGATGCTGTCATGAGACAGTAATACCAGTTCTAAAGTGTTTTCTAAATGCACACTCCTTCAAATTGAGCTTTACCAAGGACAATGTCATTATAGTTCAATAATTTACATAATACATGTATTCATCAAATTGAGCATAACATGCTCAGGTGACATTGTCACCCCTGGGCTTCGATCATATAGGTATTTCGTATTATACAATTATTTACCCCTTTCGAGGTCAACATGGTGAAATAAGGAACCGAGACCTGGCCCACCAGGTGACCTGACCTTAACTTTGATTTTCATATTTTTAATAGTATTATTAAATTTCTAACCAATAAAACATATTTCATTAACAAAGATTGACCATAGGTTAATTAACAGTTCTTGATATGCATTTTCGGCACGTATACATTTGTTAACAAATGAATAGAAGTGTAAGTGTGTGTCAAGCGAGGATCGGAGGGGCAGGGATAAGGACGGGGTGTTTACTTCGTATGTTTATTATTGTATTACTGTGGACATGCAGAAACAATCCGCTTTATTATAAGATGTAGAGAGAGAGGGAGTTTTGATTCTGCTTGTCTGCAATGTTGAAGATTTGCATGGAAAAGTATGGTATCATTAATGTAAATAAACCACTTCTCGCTATACATTTACACCTGCTTGTACAAATGAATATATTTTTTTGATTCATTGTAATTTTCTATAAAACACCCAAAAGCACACAGGTCAATACCCCCAAACAACCTTGTAAAAAATTGTTTTTTTTTTTCTTTTTTCTTAATTTCTGTTGTTTTATTTTCTTTCCATGGGCCATAACACTGTTGAAAATTGTATACGAAAATATGTGTTATTACATTTTGCGTTTCTGCCTTTTGCTTAATCTCGACGCAAAATTTAATAACTCAATGTGTTATAATCAAGAAATGGTGTAATTACATTTTGCGTCGATCTCGATCTCTTCAGTATTTCATAAAAGTCTAACTCCCCGTTTTTTCAACGGTTGAAATAATATACGCATTGTGAATTGGAGCTTACCTTTTTTGTTGGTTTAGCCCCCCCCCCCCCTGCTTTTCAATACGCCAGTTCGAGATTGTAACTCTCCTGCGAAAAGCGAAAAGTATTTATTTCAACATGGAGGTATGTGGCACCGCACTTTGAAAAAATTACGCACTTTGAAAAAAAATTTCAAAGTGCGGTAAATTTTGGGACCAGGATAACGCACTTTGAAAAAAATATTCTTTTTTCAAAGTGTGTTAATATCGACCATATTAACGCACTTTGAAAAAAAATGCTGCATGTCTTAGTCAATATTCCTACAAATCTTAGGTATGATAAATTATCATTTGAACCTATTTGATACTTTTTGTCCCCCGCTTGAAAGTGGGAGATATTAATTTGGGTCTATCTGTCAGTCCGTCCGTTTAGCTGTCTGTCCATCCCTCTTTCTGTAACGCTCTCATTTCCACGGGATACCTCGCCAACCTTTGAATATTTGCAATGAAATTTAACATAACAGAATCCCTGTGGCTTTAGGAAGACCCCATTTGAATTTGGGGTCAAAAGGTCAACATTCAATGTCGTAAAGAACTACGAGCGATAGTATTGTTTTTCCGCCCATCTCTTAGTCAATTCTCAAAAGTTAACATATTGGAATGATTCTAAAAAGATTTACAGATATTTATATGAATTTTCATAAAACCTTAATTATTTGGGATACCAAAGAGAAATAACTCTATAATTTTGGCAAAACTTGTGTTTTTAAAAACCTAGAGTTTAACAGAAAGATTATCAGGTATGGTGTCAAATTAACAACGAAAAGCAGACAGGTACTGTAGATTCCTTAATATAAGCGAGGAATTAATTTCTGTGTAATTTCGCAAGAAGCATCACTCGCGAAAAAGATATTACTCGCTTTTATTTTTCTGGTGCTTAAGTCTATGTAAAATCTGTTAATAAGCCGTTCATTTGGGAATTATAATTTTAGCGATTTGACGTTTGAGAGCCAGTTCGCGATTAAAAACACTTGAGAAAAATAAGGAATTTACAGCTAGTTATTAATATTCTGATTTTCCTGAAAATGAACATAAATAGACTTTGAGATTTAAAAGAACAAAATTTCGATTTACTGCAGACTTCCTTGTACAGTGCCTAAACTGCGTTGAGAATGCTCTTTTTTTAAATATCATTGACACGTAAGGTAACGAGTTATAGAAATTGATATATCTGGGTGGGAATGATAAAGAGTTGAGCTGATAGACCTTAATTCAGCCAGTCTTTTCTTCGTTTTCCGTTTCTTGGTTTTCTT